GTATATCTAGAAAATTGTAAGCCAACCGTAGGAATCAAATGTTTTAGTCTACCAACATACTTTGCCAAAAAATATCACAAGTGGAACTGTTTTTACTTAAATGATACAGCTTCTGGAAAAGCCATTGAGTATATCTGCATTTTAAAATGCTTAAAAAATGAAAATAGTACTAAACACAGATGTCTTTCATGTCATTCTATGCAGTAAGGTAAAATCTTCTGCATGCAGCTATCCCTGCCCCCCCCCCCCCCTCCTCAGGATCTCGATCCAGTGCTTTGCACAATTAAGAGCAGAGGTTCTCTCAGTTATCTCCTTCCTCAGATATATCTGGATAAAAAATGATTTTTCTGTAATTTTGCCTAACCGCATTTATGTAATTTACACAGCCCCAGATATTCATCCCAAAATATAACAGTCTTCTGATAGGAGGAATATCAAAGAAGTGTGATTTTTTTTTATATGACATATGGAATGGTAAAGCTCAGTTTTTGTTTTTTCTCTTACATTCGTAGTCAGGGATGTTCTACAGCGTTGCCAAAATGAGGGGTGGGAAAACAAAGCCAGGGAACAACAAGCATACACATCAATCATCAAACTACCCTGACGGGACCCCTGCAAAACTAGTAAAATTTTGCAAAAGTGTGCACAGATGATCAGGTTACCACCTTGCAGGCTTGAGCAACAGATGCCTGATGTTGGTACACCCAGAAGGCACTAGCTGCCTGGGTGGAATGTGCTGTAATGGGAAAGGGAGGCCCCCCCCCCCTTAATGGCATAAGCCTGAACAATCATCTGCCGAAATCCAATGTGAAACAGTGGCAGAGAAGGGTGCCATGCCTTTAGTTGGACCATCTGTAAGCACAGAGTCGGACTTCCTGAAGGTGACAGTCACATATGGGTACGAACTTGTCCTCCTCATTTGAGGACTCAGATCCGTGGGATGCATCATTGGGATCCGCAGAATGCGCAGTGCCCAACTCGGGCTCAGAGACGTGCAAGGACACAGGCAATGGCGGAGGGGGTGTTTCTTGCTCATCTTATGTCTGAGCACTATCTCCACTAGGGAGATGAACAACTCCAGGACTACAGACAATGCAACTAAGGGTACATATAAATAACCGCGCACCTGTGCACACACAAAAAAGATTTGTTAAGCAGCAAACCCAAAAATGGATATCTCTTCCACCCAATACACTCAAATAAAATGTGTCACTCTCAACCTAAATTAATAATTACATGTGTTCAAAATATACAAACATAAACATATACTGTAATCATATGCAAATATTAATTTAAAGTGAGTGAAGGCAACTCCTTATTTGTGGTTCAAGATACAGTGGAGGAATGACTAGAGCCACAAAGAGACATGAAGTGTGGTCTTCACAGGATTATCAGGTGAAAGTAAAGGGACAAAGATTTTGAAAAAACTAAGGTAACCACCATTCTAAGGACTGGAGTTGCCTTCAGCAATCGTGATAAACAGAGAAGGACCCAGCTGTCCAACTACCAGCCATGCTTGCTGTGGCTGGTTGCTAATCAGTTCCTGATATTCTAGTGAAGTTCTTCTTTAACATTTTACACTATGGAGAGGCACTCTTCCTCTTTTTGCCTTGCAAGGACTGTTACACTGTGAGGATTATTTAAACCCTATTACCGGGGTTCTCATCCACTATTGAGGCTGCTGTGAGAGTATCTTTGATACTGCAAGATATCATAGAAGCGCTTTTTGAGCACTTTTTTTGTAAGGGGGTCATGGGAAGCTGGTAAGCGTGTACCCAATTATCACTTTTGGGTGATGGTGTAGAGAGGTGGCACTTTATGATAGATATTAGGAAGGAATGAACTTTCCATTTATTAACACTTACACTTGGATGGGACTTTTACACATGGACTTTGTTTTTTTATTATTATTATTATTATTATTATAATACAGGATTTATATAGCGCAAATGGTTTGCTCAGCGCTTTACATTATAGTGGGAGACAATACAGTAATAATACAGTTCAATACAAGAGGGATTAGAGGGCCCTGCTCCTAGGAGGGCGGGGTGAGTGGTACAGTAGGTAGTCACTGTGGGGGATGGAGAGTTTGGAAGAGTAGAGATACCAGAATTAGCAGAGGGCGGGATAGGCTTCCCTGAAGAGAAAGGTTTTCAGTGAACGCCGAAAGGCAAGTAGAGTAGGTGACAATCTGATAGATTGGGGTAGCGAGTTCCAGAGGATGGATGATACCCTGGAGAAGTCTTGGAGATGAGCATGGGAGGAGGAGATAAGGGAGCTAGAGAATAAGAGGTCTTGCAAGGAGCGGAGTGTACTGTTTGGGTGATATTTAGAGATAAGATCGGTTCTGTAAGTTGGGGCAGTGTTGTGGATGGCTTTATATGTCATTGTCAGAGTTTTGAATTTTATCCGTTGGGCAACTGGGAGCCAGTGGAGGGATTGGCAGAGAGGGGTGGCGGATACGGAACGGTTAGTGAGGTGGATGAGTCTGGCAGCAGCGTTCATGATAGACTGGAGGGGGGATAGTCTACAATGAGGTAGGCCAATGAGGAGGGAGTTACAGTAGTCGAGGCGTGATATGACAAGGGAGTAAATGAGTTGCTTAGTAGTTTCCGGCGTTAGAAACGGTCGTATCTTGGAGATGTTGCGGAGGTGAAGTCTACATGATTTTGTCAGCGATTGGATCTGGGGCTGGAAGGACAGATGGGAGTCTAGGATTATCCCTAGTACCCTGTCGTGAGGGGATGGACTGAGGATGGTGTTAATATTTATGGTGAAGTCAGTGAGGGCAGCGCGGGCAGGGGGGAACACTAGGAGCTTTTGGAGAGGCTGAGTTTGAGGAAGTGGAGTGCTATCCAGGCCGATATGTCGCTTAGTAGGCTAGCGATACGGGTGGAAACTGAAGGGGTTTTACTCACTTTATATTATTATTTGCATAGGATTATATGTTAATGTTGTGTTTGTATATTTTGAACACATGTAATTAATAATTTAGGTTGAGCATGACACATTTTATTTGAATGCATCTAAGGAAACCAAGGGACCAACTGCTACCAGAAAGGGATCCAGAGTCAAGGCGTGATCCTGAGTCTCCATAAGGACAAATGTAAACCTTGGTGGTACTGCCACAAAATAAGACCCCAATGAGGGAGAACAAGAACAGACACCTCCAGGCTGACCCAGTAGAAAGGAGAGTACCCCAGGGAACACTCACCACTGTAACAGAACCGGACCCAAACCGCACTTGTGTATTTTTCTATTATACTGCAGCTTCCCTGTCCAAACACCATCCACGGACCACACCCGCTGATCATGCAGGAAAGTAAGACAACACCAAACTCTTCTTAAGACAAGAAGTCAACTCCTTTATTTTTACACAAAAAAATAGACTAAGACTATAGACGTAGACTAAGCGCTCAAGGAGCTTGGAAGTGAGTGGCAGCAGGGAGATGGGTCTGAGGTTGTTTGGGTCAGTGGGATCCAGGGAGGGCTTTTTGAGTATGGGGGTGATGTGCGCATGCTTTAGGGGGGAGGGGAATGCACCAGTAGAGAGGGAGAGATTGAAGATGTGGGTGAGGGAGCGGATCAGGGAAGAGGGGGGTGACCAGAGGAGTTGAGAGGGGATAGGGTCCAGGGGACAGGTAGTGAGGCGGGCTTCTGAGAAGACCCTGGTGACTTCCTCAGTGGTAGCAGGGCTGAAGGAGTACAGTGCTGGGGGGTTACGGTAAGCAGGGCCATGGGTGTGGTGGGGGGCAGTGGTTGCAGTGCGGTTGCGAGGTCAGAGGAGGGGAGAGATGAGGGGGTGATGGGGGGGGGGAGGCTATATGGGGAGGTAGATTGCGAGTTGACTATGTCCTTATGGATTGTGTCAATCTTGTTGTGGAAATGAGTGGCAATCTCGTGGGCGGTAAGTGAGGTACTGAGTGGAGGAGGGGGGGGGGGAGAGCAGGGAGTTGAAGGTGGAGAAGAGTCGGCGAGGGCAGGTGGAGAGGGTGTTGATCAGGTTAATGAAGTAGGCCTGCTTGGCAGTGTGGAGGGAGGAGGTGTAGATGAGGAAGGCAGATTTGTAGAGGGAGAACACACGAGGGGACCTGGTTTTGCGCCATAGTCTCTCCAGCGCGACTGCGACGTTTGAGGTATTTAGTATGGTCGTTCTGCCATGGTTGAAGCGGTCTAGGTTTGATGTTGCGTGTGATTAGGGGTGCCAGAGAGTCTAGTGCAGCTGACAGTGAGTCGTTGTATGTGTGGTGGTGGCTAGGTCAGGACATGACAGTGGAAGGATGCTGTTGTGTAGGCGGTCAGCAGCCGGGTTCAGGTTGCGGAGGTTGCGGCTGGTGATGGTTTGGAGGGGGGGGAGTTAGGGGAAGGGGAGACGGAGAACGTGAGGAGGTGGTGGTCGGAGAGAGGGAAGGGGGTGTTAATGAACTGGTTGAGGGTACAGAGGTGGGAGAAGAAGACGAGGTGGGAGAGGGTACAGAGGTGGGAGAAGAGTACACATTCACACCCTGTACCCCTTAACAGGCACAGGGTGGGTTAAACATAATGAAGGGAACATGAGCTGACACAGGGGTCCCCCCACCCCCAAAAGTCACTCCCGTCACATATCTCCAATTTTGGCAGGAGACTAACGCAGGAGTAGATCCCAGATGGATGTACTCTGAAGTTAATCTGTACCTCCAGTCCCTCAATGCCAGCACCCACACAGTACCCCATGCAAATTGTCCCACACCAAGCATTACTCACCCAGCCAACCTCTGCCTCTCCTGTAGAACATACCCGCCGCTGGGGAGAAGCACAAACCGGTCCTTCTCCCTGAAATCCTCTCAGCCGCTGGAGAGATGACAGGGTGGGCCGACTCCATCATGCTGTGGGGGATCTGGGCCGACTGCCCAGCATCCCTGGGGTATCCAGGTAGTGGCTGTAGTCTCATCCACTCAGCTCAAGCTGCTGTTGTGAGGTGCCGATTGCATCCTCTTCCTGTAGCTCCAGTGGTGCTGGTTGTTGTGGGCAGAGGTCGACAACACCATTCCCTGGTGCCAGCTCTTCTGCGGGAGATGGGCCGGCTGGTTCCTCCTCAGCAGATAAGTCAATCAAATCCCCAGCCTCTGGAACTGGTGTCTGGGGATAGGGGTTCACCATCTCCTGTCCGTGGAACTCAGAAGGCGTTACCAGTGCTGGGCAGGGTTCAGTAATGTTTGGCTCTGTTGCCAGCTTTTCTGCTGGTACCTCTTCAGCCGAGATGGGCATGCTGCCAAACATGTCTTAGCAGTTGCCTGTATGCCCTTTCCAGATGCAGTTCTTTCATCAGCAGGTATTGCAGATCTGGCTCAAGCTCTGAGACCCCTGTGAGACCGAACATAGCCTCTCTGCACTCGCAACTCCTCCAGGGTAGGTTCTCCTTCATCGCCAAACACAAAATGATCTGAAAGGCTCTCCCACAGCAATCCAGGCCCACCAAAGTCATGTCCCTCAGGAGAGCACTCTGTTGACACCCCTAAATATTCCTGCTCTGCATACCACCGCAAAGCCCAATATCTATTGTCCAGTTGTATCTCCTGCTGGACCAGCCTGTCCAACTCAGTCACCCATTGCTCCTGGGGTCGCTCTCCCAGGAATGGCATCCGTAACTTCCGATGGTCCCTGGCCCTTTCCTCTGGGGTTGGACAACACTTGCCTTTCTCCATACCAGCCGCCTGGAGGGCTCCTCTCCAAAGGACCTCCCAAATCCGCTGCCTGAGCTCCAGGTACTGATCCATAGAGACAGTCTGGGGTATGTTACAAGAACAGTCTGCAGCAGCCCTGGGAACTCTGATGCCAGGTCCATATCTCCACTGGGGTGACTGACGTCTTCTTTCCTGATCTTGGATCCCGGTGGTGGTTTAGATGTGTTCACAGTTTGGAAGCACAATCCCACTGCTTGCCACCAATGTAATGGAACCAGACCCAAACCGCACTTTGGTATTTCCGTTATACTGCAGCTTCCCTGTCCGAACACCATCCACAGACCACACCCACTGATCATGCAGGAAAGTAAGACAACACCAAACTCTTCTTAAGACAGGAAGTCAACGCCTTTATTTTTACACAAAACACATGATATATACACAGGGCGGGGAAACACAACCAGGAACAGGAAACACATCATCAGCCCGCCCCATCAGTGGGGAGGGCTACAGGAAACACATCAATACACAATATACATTCACACCCTGTACCCCTTAACAGGCACAGGGTGGGTTAAACATAATGAAGGGAACATGAGCTGACACAGGGGTCCCCCCACCCCCAAAAGTCACTCACGTCACAACCACTCACTACCCAGAGGAGCTTGATGCCTGCTCCAGTGTTACCTCCGCCACAAGGGACGCCCATGGGAGCTGCAGAAGGAGTGGGGATCTGTCAAGGAAGACAGGAGGGACACTGAAGGCCAGGGGAGGGGGGGGAGGCCTGCAGGACTGACCACACCAGGGAGTACTTGCACCCCAAACCGCGCTCAGGCAGGGAAGGGGGACATTATTATTATTATGCAGGATTTATATAATGCCAACAGTTTGCGCAGCGCTTTACAATATAAGGGAGACTGTACAATTACAATACATTTCAGTACAGAAGGAATATGAGGGCCCTGCTCATGGAGCTTACAATCTAAAGGAAGGGGGAGGTGATACAAAATGTGATAGCTGCGGGGGGATGATCTGGTGGAGGTGAGTTAAGTATAGTTCCTAAGTGGAGTTGGGGTAGGCTTCTCGGAATAAGTAAGTTTTCAAAGATCGCCTAAAGGCAGACAGGGTGGGGGCTGAATGGACATACTGTGGTAGGGAGTTCCAGAGGATGGGAGAGGCTTTGGAGAAGTCCTGGAGGTGAGCGTGAGAGGAGGTGATGAGGGAGCTAGATATATCTTGGGAGGAGTGGAGTGGGCGATTTCCACTTACTGGTCCAGTGGAGTGTGCGGGTAAGGCTCCCAGGACAGATCCTCCTCTCCACTGAAGTGGGGGGCTGTTGGCCAGCGCAACACTGTGACATGAACTCCAGTGCCCGGTCATAAGTGTCCCCGCGAGCTGTTTAACTCGCAGACCGTCCTGATCCAGGGTGGGACTCGATGCAGCCAACCCAGAGCATGGCTAAGGAACTGCGTGCATTTACTGGTCAGACTGGGGTAACCACGGGATCTGGATTATCCAGCCTTTCATCCAGCATAGCTGTTGATCAAAGATTTCTGCAGAGAAAAAATCCCGAAAAAAGGAAAACAAAGACAAAAATAAATAAAAAGCTTGTGAGACCGCATGTATCAGCAGGGAACCAGATCCATAAGAGAGGAGGTTTTATGCCTAGAGAGGACTGCCCATAGGAGGTGCAGAGTTTTTTTCCACATAGTGTCCTACTCAGGGGCGGACTGACAACTCATGGGGCCCCCGGGCAATAGGGGATCATGGGGCCCCTGTGTCCTTGCCCAAACTCAAAAAAGCCTATGAAAAAAGGTACCAGGGGCATCTCATGGGGCCCCCTACTGACCCTGGGCCCTTGGTCAGTGCCTGAGTTTTCAAATGGTCAGTCCGCCCCTGGTCCTACTCAAGTAGGTGGTGCTATAAAACCCGGTTTGGTCAAGACTAAAGAAGAGAGACTGTGTCCAACAATGAAGAGAAAATGCAAACTTTTACTTTGTGCTTTATCATTCTATATGTTGTATAAAAATCACACTTCTTTGATATTTCTCTTATCAGAATACTGTTATATTTTGGTGTAATAAAAACATTAAAACATTTGCTAAATCAAAGCCCTATGTGTTCCTTAAAATGATATACTATATTGCCAAATTGGCATTATTGGGACAACCCTTCCAAATAATTGGATTCATGTGTTCAAATCACCTCCATGGCCACAGGTGTATAAAATCAAGCACCTAGGAATGCAGACTGCTTCTACAAACATTTGTGAAAGGATGGGTCGCTCTCAGGAGCTCAGTGAATTCAAGCATGGTACCGTGATAGGTTGCCACCTGTGCAAAAATTCCATCTGTCAAATTTCCTTTCTACTAAATATTCCAAGTACAACTGTTAGTGGTATTATAGCAAAGTGGAAACAACTGGGAACATCAGCAACTCAAGCCATGAAGTGGTAGGCCATGTAAAATGACAAAGCGGGGTCAGTGCATGCTGACGCACACAGAAGTCGCCAACTGTCTACAGAGTCAATAGCTAAAGGCCTCCAAACTTCGTGTGGCCTTCAGATTAGCACAACAGTGCCTAGAGAGCTTCATGGAATAAGTTTCCATGGCCGAGCAGCTGCATCAAAGCCTTACATCACCAAGTGCAATGCAAAGTGTCGGATGCAGTGGTGTAAAGCATGCCACAACTGGACTCTAGAGCAGTGGAGATGTGTTCTCTGGAGAGACGAAAAATGCTTCTCTGTCTGGCAATCCGATGGATGTGTCTGGGTTTGGTGGTTGCCAGAAGAAAGGTACTTGACTGACTGCATTGTGCCAAGTGTAAAGTTTGATGGAGGGAGGATTATGTTGTGGGGTTGTTTTTCAGAGGTTGGGCTTGGCCCCTTAGTTCCAGTGAAGGGAACTCTTAAGGCGTCAGCATACCAAAACATTTTGGACAATTTCATACATTCAACTTTGTGGGAACAGTTTGGAGATGGCCCCTTCCTGCTCCAACATGACTGCGCACCAATGCACAAAGCAAAGTCCATAAAGACATGGATGAGTGAGTTTGGGGTGGAGGAACTTGACTGGCCTGCACAGATTCCTGACCTCAACCCGATAGAACACCTTTGAGATGGCACATCAGTTCCTGATGCACTTCAGGAAGAATGGTCAAGCATTCCAATAGACACACTCCTAAATCTTGTGGACAGCCTTCTCAGAAGAGTAGATGCTGTTAAAGGTGCAAAGGGTGGGCCAACTGAATAGTGAACCCTATGGACTAGGGCTGAAATGCCATTAGAGTTCATGTGTGTGTAAAGGCAGGCGTCCCAATACTTTTGGCAATATTGTGTATTTCGAACCTGTTTTTATCTTGTATGTACTGACTTTGCAACTACTTTAACCACTTGCCCTCCAGAAGATATACCCCCCCCCCCCTTCCTGACCAGGCCATTTTTTGCATTATGGTGCTGCGCTACTTTGACTGACAATTGCGCGGTCATTGAACGCTGCACCCAAATGAAATTTACGTCCCACGAATAGAGCTTTATTTCAGTGGTATTTTATCACCTGTACGTTTTTTATTTTTTTTGCGCTATAAAAAAAAAAAAAGACCGACAATTTTGAGAAATAAAAACTTTTTGCTATTAAACATGTCCAGAAAATGTTTTAAAAAAATCTAATTTCCACATAAATTTAGGCCAAAATGCAGTCTGCTACATGTCTCTGCTAGGAAAAAAATAATATGTGTAAATTAATTGGTTTACGTGAAAGTTACAGTGTTTACAAATGGCGGTATATATACTGGGCTTCAGCAACTTATAACGAGACTGCGGTGGGAATTCTAACACTGGGGGGAACTGACTTGGTGTCACTGACATCCCCAGTGACACCAATACAGTGATCAGTGCTAATAAAAAGCACTGACACTGTACTAATGGCACTAGACATGAAGGGGTTAACATGTGGGGCGATCAAAGGGTTAACCGTGTGCTGTTTTACAATGTGTGCTGTGTTGTGCTATGCACAGCCATACAAAGTAGTGTGCAGGATCTGAAAGGGAGGAGAACTGCTTTGTTTACCAACAGTTTTCCCCCCCGTCGGAGATCCTCAGCAATCATTGGGCGCTGGCGCGTAATCATTAGACCCAGTGATAGACAGCCGCGGCCACGAACCTTGTAATGGCAGCGCAGGTAATAGGGTATACACCAGTGTGCAGAGGGTCCTTCAGAATTTCTAGAGTTAATGTGGTTACACCCCTTTAGCACCTGATGGATAAATGCATGCACTAGCTGTATGGATTTGAGCACAGGGATCTCTTGTTTGTTGTATTGTTGGGTCAGTAGCCAGACCTGAACCTTGTAGCTCTCCCCATTGTGTCTTTTCCCCTATGTTAGCATTGTGTCCACAGTAGCACTTGTGTAGGCAGGGCAGAGTAGGACTGGCCATAGAGGGATTACTTTGACGCAGTTGGCCAGCTTAAACATGTATTGCAATATGTGTGAACCAAATATCCCTATTTGTTGCATAGTTTGCTTGAAAGGGTATATACTGTGTGCAGAGGGTCCTTCAGAATTTCTAGAGTTAATGTGGTTACACCCCTTTAGCACCTGATGGATAAATGCATGCACTAGCTGTATGGATTTGAGCACAGGGATCTCTTGTTTGTTGTATTGTTGGGTCAGTAGCCAGACCTGAACCTTGTAGCTCTCCCCATTGTGTCTTTTCCCCTATGTTAGCATTGTGTCCACAGTAGCACTTGTGTAGGCAGGGCAGAGTAGGACTGGCCATAGAGGGATTACTTTGACGCAGTTGGCCAGCTTAAACATGTATTGCAATATGTGTGAACCAAATATCCCTATTTGTTGCATAGTTTGCTTGAAAGGGTATATACCAGTGTGCAGAGGGTCCTTCAGAATTTTTGGCAGCGCAGGTAAGGCACGTGCGTGCCCCCTACCTGGTAATGCAAAATCACGTATATATGTGATTTTGCGCACAGCTGCCGCCCTGTAGCAGTATTTCTGCCATGGGGCGGAACTGAAGCAGTTAAGCATGGTAGCAATTACTGATTCCAACAGGTGTCTTGCTTAAGATTTGGGTTTTAAAGGCTATGCCAATAAAATGAGAAGCAGGGTGCAATATGGGGTCTTTCAAAAACATCTGGACAATCTGAAAGTATTGAGGAGCAAATCAGCAATCAAAGTCTAGGCCTGTTTTGACCAGCAGATGTTATAGCCCTAGTAGGCCTAAAAGCAGAGTGGAATAGAATAGTACTGATCTTCTGCATTAAAGAGGAGCTTCAGTTTCCTGTGCAAAAATTAAAAGTCAGCAGCTAAAAAAACTGTAGCTGCTGACTTTTAATAAACAGCTATTCACCTGTCCCACAATCCAGTGAAGTGCTCACCCCAGCTGTTTTCACCTTCTATCGCTGGCATCTTAACAGTGGGCACCCAGCTGTGACAGCTTGCGGCTTCACAGTTGGATGCCCACTGCAAATGGGCAAGCTGTGCTGTGCATTATGAATGGTCCCGCAGTCTTCTGGGACATGTCACCTAGGCAGTCAGAGAAGAAGTGGGAGCAGGTAATTGTCAAAATCAGGGGTCCCCACCACTCTCCCCCCCCCAGTGCCATGTCACAAACAGGAGCGGGGGAGGTGGCCTTAAAGCAGAACTTCCCCTTTTAGGCGGAGCTCTGCTTTCACTCCAACTAAATCAGCACCAACCAGACAATATAAAAGACCAATTCAGACGATAAAAAAGGGGCACTGATTTACATTTAATCCACCAGTTCACATGATATACCAAAAGTGACTTTCACATATAAAGTGTGCCCAGAGGAATGTGTCTTTCTATAAAACTAGAGCTAAAGCCCTTAGGGTGGGGCTTCAGCAGGATGGCAGTGCCAACAGGCCTAAAAATCGAAGTTAGAAGGCACAAGCAGCTTTGAAAAGCCATAAGACATTTAGATGTGGGTGAGTAGAAACTGGCCAGTGGCTGTTTTAGGTCTTGTGACAGACCCAACCAGGACAGAGGCTTTTGCAGGGGACTAGGGGCTAGCCTTCTACCCACTGATTATGGCCCACGGAGAGAGCAGATCATTCTCTACTGATGGACAACAATGTTATGAACACTGAGAGTGAGGCTTGGATTAATTCTCTTAGTAAAGACAATACAGCTTCTCTTCTGGAGTGGATAGAAAGGTGTAATATTAATCTTGTACACTTTATTGATCAGAGGATATATGGGGCCCTTCTGCAGGTTGGAGAAGCTCCCCCACTTTGGGAAAGAAATATTTAGCAACAGTCTCTCTCAAGAAATCTATGACGATAGATGAATTCCACTTTTTCAGACTGTTGGAAGATTGTATGAGTTTTGTCTTATGATGGACAGATTATACAAGTGAAAGCAAACACCTGAAAGACAGCATGTGTAATGGACTTGGTGTATTCAGGGCTGGAGGTGCTAGGCTGTCTGGAGTGGGCTCCCTGGCTTGTCTGGGTATTTGGCTGTTGATTAGCTTAACTGGTTGTCGTCCAGCCACTGTATTAAAACGGCCATAGGGCGGCACCCTTGCGCAAAATCACGTTTTTAAAATGTCATTTTGCAAAACAGGTAGGGGGCGCGCGCCCCACCCTATCCGCGCCGCCGATCGTGGACACGGGTGTCAATCACCGGGTCCCGGCCGGTCATTACCCGCCGGGTACCGGCGATTACCGGCAATCACTGACAGGGAGCACGGCTGCAGTGTTTACACTGCAGCTCTGCTCCCTGTCAGTTCCTAACACACTGTTCCTGGGAGCGGAGTTTAGCTCTCGGGATCAGTGTGTTCCTGTGAAGTACACCTCCCCCCCGCCCACTAGTAAAACACTCCCCTCACACAGGTAACCCTTTGATTGAATAAAAAATGTTAACCCCTTCCCCAGCGCCATTAGTACAGTGTCAGTGTTTTTTTTTTTTTTCACTGATCACTGTATTGGTGTCACTGGGGATGTCAGTGACCTCAGGTCAGTTCCCCCCCAGTGTCAAAATCTCCGCCGCAGTCCCGCCATATCGCTGATCACTGCCATAAGTCGCTGATCACCGCCATATTATAAAAAAAAAATCCCAGTATCTTTCCCGCCATTTGTAGACGCTATAACTTTCACATAAACCAATTAATTTACACGTATTGGGATCTTTGTTTTAGCAAAGACATGTCGCAGAATGCATTTTGGCCGAAATTTATGACAAAATTTGATTTTTACATTTTTTTACTGGACATGTTTTATAGCAACATTTTTTTTTTTATAGCACAAAAAATAAAAATCGCAAAGGTGATCAAATACCACCGAAAGAAAGCTCAATTCGTGGGAAAAAAAGCACGCAAATTTAATTTGGGTGCAGTGTTGCATGACCGCGCAATTGTCAGTTAAAGTAACGCAGCGCCATAACACAAACAGCTTCTGATCGCCCTATAGCAGAAATACTGCTACACGGTGGCATGGGTGTGCAAAATCACATATATATACATGATTTGTGCTCCTGTGGTTTTCACGCCCCTCCCAGATGGCGTCAGATAGCCCATCAGTACACCAGTCATCACATTTAACCCCTTGACTGCCAGGAACACGCTCATGCACAATAAACCTCCATTGCTAGTATAGTGTCTGAACAGATCAATATCTTTGATTAGATCAGCACTATACCAGTGTTCACATTAGTATAGCATCCCCAAAAATGCAGCGTTAGCGGGATCAGCCCCGGCACCTGCCAGCATCTGCGTTTAGCCCCTACGCTTACCCTCCCCTTCTCCCTCAGCAAGTGCAGTGTCAGTAGGTCACTGTCACTTGATAAATTGCACACAAAACCGCAGTGTTCGCAGAATCAGGCCTGATCTCTGTTAGCACTTGTCGGTAAATTTTAAAGAACTCTCATATGCAGCAGAGTGCCAGTACTAGTGCCGCGCTACCTTTTGGTGAACTGGTGAGCACCAGCGGTCTAGTACATCTTGGTCTTTCACATATCTCTTAGATTGTAAGCTCCCAGGATCAGGGCCCTCCTAACCCTTTTGTATTGAACTATATTGTTGCTGTATTGTCTCCTGTTATACTGTAAAGCACTGAGCAAACTGTTGGCGCCATATAAATCCTGTGTCAGGAATCTGGGTATGACCAGAAGTGTGTGGACACAGGGAAACGCAGGCTTCAGGTATAGTATAATACAACTTATTAAAGCCTAACAATACATAAACACAACACTAAACGTAGTCAGGTAGGCCGGGTCAGTAGCAAACGGGCAAACAAGGTACCAGGAGCAGGCGAGAGAGTGGTCAGGACTAGCCGAGGTCAGTACAGGCAGAGTTCGTGCAGAATCAGGGTAGAAGCAAGCAGGATCAGGATACCGGGGCCAAGCGAAACAGTACAACAAGGCACTGACTGCAGGTCTGGCCATTCCTTAAATACACCTCCTGCAATCAGCCTCAGGTGATGGCTGACAGCAGGAGTGAGCTTCTGGTTGCTGAGAGCACCCACTGGCTAGCCCTGGTACTGCAGCCCACAAGGCAGGTGAGTCCCATCACCATTGGCGAGTCCATTCCTCACAGTACCCCCCCCCTCAAGGAGCGGCCTCAGGACGCTCCAAATAGTCTTTAGTGGACAAAATGTTCCACCGCCCGGGTCAGGTAATTGGCTGGATATCAGGGGCTGGCACATCAGGCTGGGCAGCGGACGGAGGCACATCAGGCTGGGCAGCGGACAGAGGCACATCAGGCTGGGCAGCGGACAGAGGCACATCAGGCTGGGCAGCGGACAGAGGCACATCAGGCTGGGCAGCGGACGGAGGCACATCAGGCTGGGCAGCGGATGGAGGCACATCAGGCTGGGCAGCGGACGGAGGCACATCAGGCTGGGCAGCGGACGGAGGCACATCAGGCTGGGCAGCGGACGGAGGCACATCAGGCTGGGCAGCGGACGGAGGCACATCAGGCTGGGCAGCGGACAGAGGCACATCAGGCTGGGCAGCGGACAGAGGATCATCAGGCTGGGCAGCGGACAGAGGCACATCAGGCTAGGCAGCGGACAGAGGCACATCAGGCTGGGCAGCGGACAGAGGATCATCAGGCTGGGCAGCGGACAGAGGCACATTAGGCTGGGCAGCGGACAGAGGATCATCAGGCGAGGCAGCGGGCACTGGGCCATCAGGCGAGGCAGCGGGCCATCAGGCAAGGCAGCGGGCACCGGGACATCAGGCAAGGCAGCGGGCCATCAGGCGAGGCAGCGGGCACCGGGCCATCAGGCAAGGCAGCGGGCCATCAGGCGAGGCAGCGGGCACCGAGTCATCTGGCAGAACAGCGGGCACCGAGTCATCTGGCAGAACAGCAGGCACCGAGTCACCAAGCTCGACAGCAGGCACCGGGTCAACTGGCACGACAGCGGGCACCTGGCCAACTGGCATGACAGCGGGCACCGGGTCAACTGGCACGACAGCGGGCACCAGGTCAACTGGCACGACAGCGGGCACCAGGTCAACTGGCACGACAGTGGGCTCCGAGTCATCTGGCAGAACAGTGGGCACGAGTCATCTGGCAGAACAGCGGGCACCGAGTCATCTGGCAGAACAGCGGGCACAGCGTCATCTGGCACGACAGCGGGCACCGAGTCACCAGGCCGGACCACGGGCACCAGGCTGGGTCGGGTCATCAGGCTGGATCGGGCCATCAGGCTGGGTAGCGGGCACCAGGTTACCAAGTCACCAAGCTCGACAGCAGGCATCGGGTCAACTGGCATGACAGCAGGCACCGGGTCAACTGGCACGCCAGCAGGCACCGAGTCACCAAGCACGACAGCGGGCACCGGGTCAACTGGCACGACAGCGGGCTCCGAGTCATCTGGCATGACAGCGGGCACGAGTCATCTGGCACGACAGCGTGCACCAAATCATCTGGCACGACAGCAGGCACCGAGTCACCAAGCTCGACAGCGGGCACCGAGTCACCAGGCTCGACAGCAGGCACTGAGTCTTCTGGCACGACAGCGGGCACCGCGTCTTCTGGCATGACAGCGGGCACTGAGTCATCTGGCACAACAGTGGGCACGAGTCATCTGGCACGACAGCGAGCACCGAGTCACCAGGCCGCACCACGGGCACCGAGGCACCAGGCTGGATCGGTCATCAGGCTGGATCGGGCCATCAGGCTGGGTAGCGGGCACCAGGTTACCAAGCTGGATAGGATCATCAGGCCGGATCGGGTCATCAGGCCGGATCGGGCCATCAGGCTGGGTAGCGGGCACCAGATCATCAAGCTGGATAGGATCATCAGGCTGGGTAGGACATCAGGCCGGATCAGGACATCAGGCTGGGTAGCGTACACTGGGTCAGGCATCAGGCATCAGGCTGAACAACGGAAGGCGGGTTCACAGACGGCAGGCTGACCGGTTTGGATACTGGTAGGATGGTACTGGTTGGAAAGAATTTTTGCCTTTTCCTGGTCTTAGTTATTGGAGCACTGTAAGTAAGCGCAGGTTGTAAACGGATAGAGCAGCTGTAGGCAGAAAAGAGCTGGGGGATGGAACAAAGGAGGGAGCAGTTGCTACAGAGGACTTCTTTACAGGGTTAAAGGCAGGATAGGTGCAGCGAGTGGGAGCAGGGTACTGACATGTGGTAGATAGCAGGGTATACTGGGCTGTCACTGGGGGTGCTGTTGGGAATGCAGGAAGAGAGCTTTGAGCAGAGGAATGATGAGAAGCAGTACTGGTTTGTCGCAAGCTGACTCAGGTTGGGTGTAACAAATCTGACCATGTCTGCAGTACGGGTTGAACAAAGCTCAGCTTACACATCGCCTGTTTGACCAAAGACTGCACTGCGTTTATACAATCCCTTAGCACCTGTTGTGAACATGCAGAATAATGCTCCAAGAAGCAATCCACATCATCCTCCAATAACCATACCAGGGGCTTTACACCACTGCATCCGACACTTTGCATTGCACTTGGTGATTTATATCTTGGATGCAGCTGCTCGACCATGGAAACCCATTCCATGAAGCTCTCTATGCACTGTTGTTGTGCTAATCTGAAGGCCACATGAAGTTTGGAGGTCTTTAGCTTTTGACTCTGCAGACAGTTGGCGTGGTAACTTCTGTGCACTGCACGCTGACCCCGCTCTGTCATTTTACGTGGCCTACCACTTGGTGGCTGAGCTGCTGTTGTCCCCAGTTGCTTCCATTTTGTTATAATACCACTAACAGTTGACCATGGAATAAATATATTATAAATAATATATAATAAATATATTAGCAAGGAAATTTCATGGATGGACTTATTGCACAGGTGGCAACCTATCACGGTACCACACTTGAATTCACTGAGCTCCCGAGAGTGACCCATTCTTTCACATCTGTTTGTAGAAGCAGTCTGCATGCCTAGGTGCTTGATTTTACACACCTGTGACCATGGAGGTGGTTGGAACACCTGAATCCAATGATTTGGAGGGGTGTCCCAATAAGTTTGGCAATATAATGTATATGGACACATCCCTCTTTTTATGGAATCTACACTATTACTTCACTCCATTTGTTTCATATGCCTTATCAGAATCCTTGCATAGATTAAACATCTCCAGCCATCCAGTAGTATATTGGTGTGTGAGGGAGGTAAAAAATATACCTCAACTATCCTCCCCTGGACGGCAACCCTGTGGTGGGCGTTAAGAGGGAGGTGAGGGGTTTATATGTGCTACTGTTTTTCCCTCCTCTTGATCAAACAAGACCTTGAGACATTGTGTACTTCACCTTATTTTTTTATATTTAGTCTCCATTGGGACAGTTATAAAACTACATTCACAGTGTAAGAGGGAGGTTATTATGAAGGTGTGTGCAATGCTAGGCAAGGTATCCTCCTCAGGACTACACATCCTTGTCATATATAGAGAATATTTCATCATTGCAAAGTTATATGCTCTGGATGACATTTGTCCATGAATTATTTGTCTATGGAGAAAAGTTAAATCACATATTTTCAATGGGATACAGTACATCAAATCTGACAGCAGTGAACTTTATGAGTCATATTTATTATTAATATACACTGCTCAAAAAAATTAAAGTAACACTTTTTAATCAAAGTATAGCATCAAGTCAGTAAAACTCCTGGGATATTGATCTGGTCAGTTAAGTAGCAGAGGTGGTTGTTAATTAGTTTCAGCTGCTTTGGTGTTCATGAAATTATCAATAGGTGCACTACATGGGCAACGATGAGACGACCCCCAAAACAGGAACGGTTTTACAGGTGGAGACATTTTTTCCCTACTCATCTTTTCTGACTGTTAGCATGAGGGGATACCTGGACCCTAAAGAGGTTGCACAGGCTGTCCAACTCCTCCAGGATGGCATATCAATACATGCCATTGCGGGAAGGTTTGCTGTGTCTCCCAGCACAGTCTCAAGATCATGGAGGAGATTCGAGGGAGACAAGCAGTTACTCTAGGAGAGCTGGACAGTGCCTTAGAAGGTCCTTAACCCATCAGCAGGACTGATATATGCTCCTTTGTGCAAGAAGGAACAAGAAGAGCACTGCCAAAATTACCTCCAGCAGGCCACTGGTGTGAATGTCTCTGACCAAATAATCAGAAACAGACTTCATGAGGGTGGCCTAAGGGCCAGATGCCCTCTAGTGGACCCTATACTCACTGCCAGGCACCATAGTGCTTGACTGGCATTTGCCATTGAACACCAGAATTGGCAGGTCCGCAGATGAAGAAGCCACGGAGAACGTTATGCTGCCTGTAACATCATTCAGCATGACCATTTTGGTGATGGGTCAGTGATGGTCTGGGGAGGCATATCTATGGAGGCATGCACAGACCTCTACAGGCTAGACAATGGCATTCTGACTGCCAGTAGGTATCGGGATGAAATCCTTGGACCCACTGTCAGACACTACCCTTGTGCAGTGGGTCCTGGGTTCCTCCTGGTAAATGAAAATGCCTGGCCTCATATGGCGAGAGTATGCAGGCAGTCTCTGGAGAATGAAGGAACTGACATCACTGAATGGCCCCATGCTCGCCCGATCAAAATCCAATAGAACACCTCTGGGATACCATGTTTTGGTCCATCCGACGCTGCCAGGTTGCACCTCAGACTGTCCAGGAGCTCAGTGATACCCTGGTCCAGATCTGGGAGGAAATAACCCAGGACACCATCCGTCTCATTAGGAGCATGTCCTGACGTTGTCAGGCATGCATACAAGCACCAGATATTAAAAATGGCATACACATATACTCCTGCGCTTGGGGATGGATTCCACAGAGGCTACAACCACATATCGAATGCCTTGGATAGTGCATGCCTTGCTGCTCTCAATGGACCAGGGGAGTCCAAATACAATGCATGAAAAGAAAACAAACAGAGGGCGCACAGGCCTTGTGCATTACCTTTTAAAAAACCATTTATTAATTAAAAAAAAAGAGGTAACATACTCACAAATGACAATATTGTCAAAGGTACATCATAAAAAGAACAGCGCTGTACAGTCCGCACTGAGTGATATCCGCAATGGGAGTCCTGGACCTCCAACATGCTAATGCGTTTTGAGGACTTGCCTCTTTGGCTCTGAGGAAGCACGTGGGGGCCATACAAACTACTAAGTACCATTTTGAGTTGTTGCAATGATATTGCAGCAAAATGGACTAGCCTGCTGCATCATTTTTTCACTTTGATTTTAGGGGTGTCTTTGAATTCAGTCCTCTGTAGGTTGATAATTTTCATTTCCATCAAACATGGGGCATCCTTACGTTCCCAACACATTACCCTGTCCATATAAGTACAGATATCCAGCATATTTTTCCCCATTGATTTCTGATGTAATTTCAAAGTGTTCCTTTAATTTTTTTTAAAAGTGTATTAATAAAAAAAAAAAACCTAATCTGGTTGAGCCCATAACTAATCTTTGTTGTTTTTGGATGGTTGATTAGCTTACTGGTAATTAGATCACTGTTGCATGTTAGTTGCTAGCTGTTGATTAGCTTACTGTTAATTAGATCACTGTCAGCGATTAGCTGTTGTACTGTTTACAGTTTGCACTGTTTAGGCTAATGTGATCAAGCTCTTACCTAACCAGTGTGGGATGTATATCCCAATGTGTAATATTTGTTTTTATTGTTCATGTGGGGACTGCCCCTATTTCCGAAGTGTATAAAAACCTGTATTTCTGTTCAATAAAGTAGTTCCAGTTTTGCACCTAAGCTAGTGTCGCCTAGTTTTGGGCGTGATGCCCAGCTATAATACCTGCCATTTTGGGATTAATGTTCAGGTACATTCCTAGAATTTACTTTTATTATGGGGATGGGGTGTATGAGGAATTTGGGTGATAGGATAAGGTGTGTTTGGTGGACACCCCCAGAAGAGATGGCCAAAAATCCCTGTTCATAAAGAAACACTACTAAAACAAAACCCAATGCCTTTAGTTTTTTTCTAAATCAGCCAACAACTAAATTTAAAGGAAACACATCCCAAAATTAATAATACATAATAAAAATAAGACAGTAATGGGAGTTAATTGCTGCTGACACAAATAGTAGTCCTAATGAGGGCTTTTGGTTGGTGAAGACCTGTGAACATGAGGGACACACACGGGAATGTAAGAGACAAAGAAAGAGAAACAATGCCACCGACTAAGTTTATTATCTCTCATAAAAATGAAGATAATATGCACTAACAGTGTGATTAGCCTCAGTGTGTGAGGCTTGAAGAATGGGACAGGGACACCCATAAACATATTGCAATGCCTTTTCTGATGTCATTACGCTATTCTGGAGCCCTGCTTTCGCCCTGATGATCTCCATGCGGTCCACAACAGTCCTTTTGGTTTCTGGCAAGAGGCTATCTGCTTGACAAAGTGCCTGGGCTGGGAAAAGACTGCCATCTAGAAGAATTGCATTACATGCTGATTTTTGGATCACACACCACAGCTGCATATTATCTTTCTTTTTATGAGAGCTAATAAACTACTACCCTTAGTCGGTGCCTCTGTTTGTCTTTCCTTGTTTTTTACATACATGTGAGTCTGCAAGCGGGAGTTACTCCAATCCTACCATCTGATGATGCTGATGGTGTTCATCCTTTATACTCATGGAGGAATATGGACTTATATAGGATTATGTCACATATATAATTTCTCTTATCTCACATTCGTACACATGTTGGTTCAGTTTTGAACCTTTTGGGGTTTTGTACATATTTGTGCAGGGGTTGATGTGTGTTTACATGTTTATATTAATTGCACATGTTTATATTATTTGGGACACAGAGGAGAATGCATGCTACCAATGCAATTCATAGAACCATTCAGTCCACTTTGATTTGGAGACTGAACCGTTAGGGATAAAAACCTCTAAACCTTCTTGGTAA